TCAGCTTCCGACAGGCGGTTGTCATGCTGAGTAACCCTATCCTTCACCTCCCTTATCTCTTTCCCGAATGTAGCGTGAAGGTCCTTAATGAGGAGCATCTGCTGTTCCGACCGACGGGCCTGTTCCTCCTGTCGGCGGGCCCGCTCCTCTTGTCCGCCCCGCAGCTGCTCTTCCAATCGGCGGGCCTGTTCCTCCTGTCCGCTCTGCAGCTGCTCTTTCAACTGACGGACCTGTTCCTCCTGTCGGCGAGCCTGTTCCTCCTGTCGGCGAGCCTGCTCCTGCAGCATCACCATCAGAGCACCTAAGTCAGGTGCTGCAGATGTAGGAGCTACCGACGGGCCTGCAGCCGGTGGCTGGCCCTCCGACGTCTGCGGCGTTGCACCACCAAATCTTCGTTGGTCCGTCTCCTGCTGGCGTTGACTTCGGGTACGAACACCCTCCGTTTCCTCCTTAGGTAAAATCGGCATGATTTTATCCCACTTCTGACACCAATTGTTACGAGCTTGAGGTTCGTGACAATAAAAATTGCCGATAAAATTACCTAAATTAACACTTTAATTTACTTTACACAATTAAAGTTAAAACACTAATAATTTAAACACACTAATTCACTTAATTCCACTCCGAAGCTTCGCTTGTTTCGCCCAAATCAACACTGCCTCCATCGCATCTTGCAGCGCCTATATATTTACATTAGCAAAGAAATATCCAGAATGTTCAAGTAAACACGCGGAAGGTATCGAGCGTTCGAGTTTCGACTAGGCGCTGTCAGTTGAGCGATTTGTGATGTCATTTTCTCAATGCTCCCCTCGCTCTAGTTCCTGACACTAGATGGCGCTAGTTGACTTATTCATGCAACAATATCATTACATTATCATTACAGCCTTTCACAAGTACTAATAATAGCTAAACATAGGCCTCCCACAAGACATAACTTAGTGGCACAGTTTGCTCAGGACCGTGCATTGTGGCATACCACGAAGCACTGTCCTAAGCCACCTGCATCCATCGACTTACTGCATATTTTACCAGATCGTCATTCCATCTAGTGATGGATGGGAGACATCCTACACTTCGTTTATTGGTATGAATTTGCCACTAGAGAACCTATCTTCCCCATCGGTTGTAGGTTCTTCAAGCTATATGGCCAGCCCATTGCCACTTCAGCTTAGTAATCCGTTGGGCTAAGGCGGTTAATCTAATTCTACTGAGGATATTCTCGTTTCACGTCGCCCAAGCATAGCCCTCTCCTTAGCTCGGTAAGCGACCTTGACTTCGTTTTTTTAGTACTTCGCTAAATTATACTTTAATTAATTCAAAACGTTTACAGTAATACAAGTTGATAGAGATAAAGGCGACTATTAGTAAATGTCATACATTTTTTAAAAGATGATGGTATATCTTCATCTCTTTCAAGGAGTTAAATTACACTTCCATTTAAATTAAGAAAATAAAGACTTTATGTATCATAAAAAGCTTTCGCACTCGTGTGAAATGAACAAATCTTTTACTAAGCTAAGTAAAATTACATAGTCTATATTAGCTCAATCTATACGGACAAAGAATACAATATGCAGGTGTCTGTATAAAACTGTATACTTTTTTGACAAAAATCCAATAAAATGGCCTTGATTTATAAAAAGAGTCGTGGTTGCTCAGGTGCAAAGCGATCGCCGTAAGTTTCACAACAGTACATAAGCAGCGCGGTTTCGATCCTCGCCAGCACCAAATTAATTGTTAATATAAATTTTAGCGCTGATTCATCACGTGCTCAGCAGTGAAGGAAACATCGTGAGAAAACTAATATGTTTAAAAATTAAAAAAAAAACAAATTAAAAATATATCTAAGACATGTAAAGTCCGTCAACACCCATGGAACTGCGCGTCAGACACATTCTTGCACTAAAACCTTCTCGGAAATGATAGTAAGTCTTTTCCCAGCTGTGGCATGTTTATTACCCGCAACTTTAATAACCAGGCGATGACCAATCCCATAACATATTACTAAAATTAGTTTGAGGTAAACTTATGCGCTTTGTGCAAAAAATCTCACTTTCTCCAAATTTAAAAACGTTATCAAAGAAAATTTGTATATAAAAAGGCATATTATAATATTAAGGAATCTTTAGATGATAATAACCCTTGCGAATGAAGAAATCACAACGAGCTTTTTCTAATTTGTTATCGTGTTGTTAATTATTGCGTAACTTTAATGATTGTAAACTATACTTTTATTTTTCAAAAAAAAGTTCCGCTGGGTTTCTTCCTGGTTCTTCTCATGAAAAATGTATTTTCCGGACCTTTAATTAAACATAAGAGTGAGTTTCAATAAGTATTATTTATAAAGTTAAAAATAAAAGGTTTATATTTCTATTTGGTCGCAATATCCAAAGCGGGGCTCCTGCAAGCAGGGGTATATTGCTCTTTCATTGAAGCTATCATCTCCTCACAAGCATTGTGCGTCATAACTAACCTCACACTTTTGTCACTAATTTGGGAAAAGCATTCTCTTCTCATCTCCTGGCCAAGGTACTCCAGTGCCAGCTCATTCCATTTTATGGTACTCACCGTGGAGCGACTCTAATCGTTGACGACCAATTTCTTTTTGATCATACTGGTGCTGCGAAGAAATGTTGTATTTTTGTGCATATTGCTCATAGGATAGGAGTTCAGACTAACACAATTGCAAGACGCGACAAAACCCGCGATACAATCCATACACTCTGGATGTGATTTATTAAATTTAAGTGAACACTATACATTGAACAAAACTATATTTACGAATTTTATCGCGTTTTATTTATTTATTTAAACTTATTATATAAAAACGGCATAAAATAAGTTAATTAAACGCGATAAAATCCGTAAATATAGTTTTATTCAAAGAAGTTTCCTTTTTCGCACAACTTCCTTGTAGAACTGACTACCACCAGCGATTTTCCAGCCCAATACGTCATAGGGATCTTCAAGAAAAGAGCCTACCCTTTTACAAAAAGCTGACAACGCACGTGCATTCCCCTGATGTTGCAATTGTTACCCACATGCTCGTTTGCCCCCTCTTATAAAAAATAGTTCATGTGTGGCCAAGCTGACTGCAGCCACTCCAATTACCGCGTCGCCCTTAGCCCTGTAGTTATCATGTCGCTCTCACATCTTTAACTTACCATGCTACAGATTCTCGCCCGCCATGAAGAGGTGACCGTAAGATGAAAGTAAAAGCAGAAAATAAATAATATAGTACTATTAAAAGCCTTTTTGCGTCAGTCGCTTAAAATTTGCTATTAACTAATTCAGTGATGTGGACGCGATTAGATCTTCGAATATTCGTAGTAAGACCCGCGCGATATTCTGAAGCTATATTAAAATTAATTCATCATGCCAATACTGCTATTATCATTTAGAATTTTTTTATTATCCTTATTTTACAATATTATGCTAAAATTGTAGGTACCGACATACGGGTTCCTTTTACAAAAGGCTGGCAACGCACCTGCATTGCCCTGGTGTTGCAGTTGTTGCCCACATGCTCGTTCACCCTCTCTTAAGTAAAAAACAGTTCACCTGTGGCCAAGCTGACTGCGGCCACTTCCGCTTACCACGTTAGTCGTGGCCCTGTAGTTATCATGTCGCACTCACACCTGTAACTTACCATGCTACAGATTCTCGCCCGCCATGAAGAGGTGACCATAAGATGAAAGTAAAAGACTTTTTGCGTCTCATTGCTAGGTATTGTAAAGTAAAGTAAAGTTACAGCCTATATACGTTCTACTGCTGGGCTCAGGCCTCCCCTCGTTTCTGAGAGGGTTTTAGGGCAAGGAAGTGTCCGCCGCGCTGCCCAAATGCGTGTTGACGAACTTCACATGTCTTCGAAATATTTTTTTTCTTATTCCTCAGACATGCAGGTTTCCTCACGATGTTTTTGATACTGCTAGGTATTGGCCACGCTTGAAATTTAGATTAAATAATTCAGTGATGTCGACGCGATCAGATCTTTGAATATTACCTAACAAGATCTGCGCGATATTCTGAAGCTGTATTAAAATTAGTTCATTCCGAATAGTATATTTTTTAACTAAAATACAGAATATTCCATTACTACTATATGTCGTGTAGATATTTTTTTATTATCTCTATTTTACAATACTCGTATTATACTACAATGGCATATCATTTTGGTTCGGCCACATACGATTAGCTAACATCTTAAATAGTTATGGTTGTTTTATGAGTAATTTTTTATAGAATGTGGGTGACACACGAGCACACAGTCCACCTGATTGTATATGAATGCTGTGGCCATTAGACATAATATACATTTATCCTTGATTAAGAATTAAAATGCAGATGCGTTGCCAACCGTGAGGACTCAGATGGAACGCTTCGTTTCCAGTAAAAAGGGTCTACGGTTTTCTACACTCACCATGCTAAACACTACAGGATTCAACTGCTACTTAACGCTGGTATTCTGTGAGAGCGTGGTCCTTCCCAGGTCGAGCCGACCCATTCGTACTACAACCATAATATAGCTGCAGCATGTCTCTACCTAGTATAAAGCATTATGCGCAATGGCATGGTTACATGGATTTTTATGCCCCTTAGTCATTTTTGTGGATGGTTTAATTTATGAAGTAACGTTATATACTGCTAATAAGGCTGAGCGTGTTTGACAAGTTCCACTACCATTCGTGTTACTAGTAAGTGTACTCGTATTGTAAAAGAACATAATCGAAAATATAGTCACCATTAACTTTTTGGCGGCTCATAAAGAATCATTCTAATTAAAATATGTTCCGCTGTGTATGTTTAAATAGATTATTTTAATTAATTTTTTATCTGTATTTGCTTCTTTGTTGCCTTAAATACATTTGGTTTTTAGGTGGCCATTTTATGCGCTGTAGCTGCAGTGTCCTGCTGGACTTCCGCCTGCAGCTGTGCACTACTCACCTGCAGCTGTCTCCTCTCAAAGTATCGTGCGTCATGATCAAACACGAGCAGCTGCCATGAAATTTGTAGCCATCGCACCTGTGGCCAAGGTAGCCGTCGCCGCCCCTGCCTTTTACTACAACACCGTGCCTGCCACTTACTACAACGCTGCCCCAGCTGCCGTTACGTACCACGCCGCACAAGTGCCCGCAACTTACCACTCCGCCCCATCTGCCGTCACCTACTATGCTGCACCCGCCCCTGTTTCGTACCACAACAGCCCCGTCCACTATACTGCACCAGTTGCTAAAGATCTTACCCAACGTGAGGAGGAAAATGTAAGTTATAATATTAAAATGAGAAACTAATAAGCAATCTACTTGATGGTAATTTGCTGCTGCAATTTATAGGCAAATGCCAACAAATTTCAAAAAAAGTCCACAGATGCATTGTCTATCCTTAGGACCGACTCATTTACCTTTCAATCTGAAACACAGTAATCAGTTCACTCTTAGATCTGCTAACATTGAAGATGTGATGGGCAGGTGATGAGATGACGATTGATTTTCTGTGCAGGCCTACCCAAAATACGATTTCTCATACTCTGTCGCTGATGGTCACACGGGTGACAACAAGTCCCAATAAGAGTCCCGAGACGGCGATGTAGTGAAGGGATCGTACTCGTTCCACGAGGCCGACGGATCCATCAGGACTGTGGAATACTCCGCCGATGATCACAATGGCTTCAACGCAGTGGTGCACAACTCTGCCCCCACCGCTGCTCCAGCTGTCATCATGACTCCTGTTTATGCCGCTCCCGCTCCCCCCGCTATTACAAACATTAAACGAAACTGACTACTGCGCTAACGCAAATTTAACTTAATTATTGTTAATTATAATAGACGAATCATTAATTACATCTGTAGTATTTATTATCCCTGTTTTCATGTACTTATTATTTATATTTAGCACTATGGACGACCAAATAACTTTATTAATTATTTGACTAAAATGTAATGTTATTTAATTATTTTTTTATATGAAAGGGGGAAACAGAACATACGGCTTACCTCTTGGTAAGAAACCACCGCCACATATGAACAACTGGAACACCAGAACAATTGCAGTATTATGGTAAACACATGCCAAATAATATACGACCTTTGCAAAAATAAAAACTGCAATGTATGACACTAAGATTAAGAGGAAATTTTTATTGTACTAATGATTTCTTATATTTACGCGAACACTATACATGATTAAAACTACTTTTACGGATTTTATCGCGTTTATTTTTACTTTTTATTTACTTTTATTTTTAATTCCCGAGTTTCGGGCGCTTTCCAGCACCCATGGTCACGGGAGACTGAGATGACTGACGTCCCGATGTCATTGTTAAACCCGGAGTACCTTCAGCTTTTTAAATTATTGTTTATGGTCCGATCTATGCAAAATGAACTGACTATGTCCTGAGGTCTTGCAGTGGTATGCTTGGGTTTAGTTTAATTTTATTGATTATAGGATCCCAATCAGGTGGTAGTACCCAGCCTCCTTCTCTATTGAAATTAGGATGTTTTTTAATTTCAATAGCCTCACGTATCATCCTTGGTAGGAATCGGTGTTCTTTCGCGAGGATTTGTGCTCTATCAAATCTGATGTAATGGTTGGGTCCGTCTAGGATATGATCACATACTACAGACTTCCCGGAACGTTGATGCTTCACATCAGCTATATGTTCTTTTACGCGGGTCCTAATTGATCTTTTTGTTTGTCTTATATTAGAGAGACCACATTCACAATCAAGCTTGTACACTCCTGCATCTTGTAGAGGAATATGACACTTGACGGATGGTAGGAACTGACTAATCTTCTTCGGCGGCTTGTAGAATGTTTTATTGTACTACTTACCTTATGGGAGATCCATCGATTAAGGTCGTGAAAAGACGTTTTCTTGACAGTATTTTCCATGGCAACGCGGCTAAAAATTGAGTTAAAATTTCCGTGTCCTTTAATTTTTCCTAAATGGCAGATTGTAGTATTTACAAAAACAGAAATACATTCCTAAAATTAAGACAATATTGTAATTAATGTGGCCGTACTTTGTTTATCATATTTATTTTAATGTCTATCGATTCATTAATAAATAAAAATCAATTGGATTGACCTAAAAATGTATTCATAAATTATTAACGGCAAATACGTTGGGTTGTTTGTCTCTAACAAAACTTGTGATACATTCGCTGCAACCAAAACTAAGGATCTTTACAATCAAAATGTATTTTAATCAACATTAAGGATTCACATATAATGTAATAACTAAGAAGTGCCAGTTCCATTTTTTTATAATATATAAGCCGCGCTGGAATATTATATTATTTAAAACAACACTACTTTACTTTTAAACACTATTCATTTTTAACAGTTCTTAAATAGCTACCAAGAATAACATATCGAATGCCTTGTTTAAAAAGCGCCTAATTTAGAAATAGCGACGAAAAATAACTGCACTATTGTCAAAATTTATCGACTAAAAATGAATCTTTTGGAAAACAGTTTCTTATTTGTAAAAGAGATGGGCAGTAAAGTAAAGTTACAGTCTATATATGTCCCACTGCTGGGCACAGGCCTCATTACTGAGAGGGTTTTACGGCAAGCGAGTGTCCGCCACGCTGCCCCAATGCGTGTTGGCGAACTTCACATCATCATCATCATTACAGCCCTTCACAAGTCCACTGCTGAACGTAGGCCTCCCCCAAGCAATGCCACAAAGCACGGTCCTGAGCCACCTGCATCCATCGACTTCTTGCATGTCTTACCAGGTCGTCGCTCCATCTAGTGGGGGTCACCCTACACTACGCCTACCGGTACGAGGCTGCCACTCGAGAACCTTTCTTCCCCATCGGTTATCGGTTCTTCGAGCTATATGGATAGCCCATTGCCACTTCAGCTTACTAATCCGTTGGGCTATATCGGTCACTCTGGTTTTACTGCAGATATCCCCATTTCTGAGTCTATCACGCAGAGAAACTCCGAGCATAGCCCTCTCCATAGCTCGCTGAGCGACTTTGAGCGTCCTCTTACGGCCAGCAGTGAAGGACCACGTCTTCGATCCGTAAGTCATCACTGGCAACACGCACTGGTTGTACACTTTAGTTTTCAGAGATTGACGTGTACCTGACGAGAAGATGTGTCGTAATTTCCCGAACGCTGCCCAGCCGAGTTGAATCCGTCGATTGACCTCTCGGTCGAAGTTGGACTTACCTAGTCGAACTATTTGTCCCAGGTAAACGTACTCGTCAACAACTTCGAGCATAGTGCTTCCAACAACTACCGGCATAGGTGTGACATGGACATTAAACATGATCTTTGTTTTGTCCATGTTCATCTTAAGACCTATCCGTTGGGAGACACTATTGAGGTCATTAAGCATAGTGCTAAGGTCCTTCAGCGATTCTGCCATAAGGACTATATCGTCGGCAAATCGAAGGTGAGTGATGTACTCGCCATTGATGTTAATACCGTATCCTTTCCAGTCCAGTAGCTTGAAAACGTCTTCCAACGCAGCGGTGAAGAGTTTCGGGGATATAACGTCACCCTGTCTTACACCTCTCTGTAGTTGGATAGGTTTTGAACTCTGGTTCTGTACTCGGATAGCCATCGTAGCCCTACTGTACAAACACTTCAGCACTTCGATATACCGACAGTCAACTTGGCTCCGCTGAAGGGACTGTAGAACCGCCCAAATTTCGACGGAATCAAAGGCTTTCTCATAGTCCACATACGCTAGGCAAAGTGGCAGATTGTACTCTTCGAACTTCACATGTATTCGAAATATTTTTTTCTTATTCCTCAGATATGCAGGTTTCCTCACGATGTTTTCTTTAACCGCTGAGCACGTGGTAAATCAGCACTCAAAAATGCAAATAATAATTTCATTGGTGCCGGCGGCGATCGAATCTGGGTTACTCGCAGTCTTTCTAATAATAATTATAAAATGAACACTGCTTTTGATAACTCACCTGCCACGCGTGGATACTACAGATAACTGCAAATATACGAGTATTTGCCGTAGTATCCATACGTTTTCCATAGCATAGCCCTGTATGCGGCAATTTAAAGGAAGGTCTGTGTTTAGCAATGAACTTTGATAGACTGTAATGATTAAGACTTTTATTAATTTCATAATGATTTAGAAAATTTAATATTTATTCGAGGCAGGTGCACCTAATTCTATAAATCTAAAATCTATCTAATATTTAAATAAAATCCGACTTATTCATAGTAAATTTTCTACAATTCTTAAAACTTTGATACCTGTGATTTAATTTTAATAAGGAAGAAATAAAAAATACTTAAGTGCTTAATATATAATAAACATAGAGATTATATAACAGTAAAAGACAGTCACATAAAGGTAAACGGCGTGTGCCCCCTACCCTCTTCTGGATGGATCAGTAAGACCTGATAAGACATGCAAGAAATCCATGGATGCGGTTAGCTTAGAACCGCGTATGTGTGGCATTACTTAGCCTTTTAAGGTCAATGTTTGGCAATGAATTTGTGAAGGGCTGTAATGGTGATAATATTGATGCAAAGTGTTTAACCAATACCTGTCATAATTGTTTAATTACTTTAACAGTTACTCGTAAATCAGGAAAATGAAATTTCCACGGAACTGCATTGTGTTTAATGCATGCTAATCGATTTCAGTTATGGACCGTATAAAAACAGTAACTACATTCGTTCCTCTGTGTTTGTATACTGTGAATTCATGAATTGACGGACCGAATCACACGAGTTTTTTACCTTTCGGGGGAAAAAATAATATTTTTTACTGGTATCCCAACCTATATGAACTCCCACTGACAACACTATACACCTCATGTCATTGTGAATTTTTCGTGCCGAATCAGCGAGTCTCATCTTCAAATTAAAAAGTATAAAATTGGTATTTAAGTCAAAGTTCTTGATTATTTATTATATTATTTTTATTATTAGCAACATTTGAAAACTTACTTACATAACATTCATAGACGTTTTGTACGATTGCAATGTATGTAATTTTTGCATTTAAATGACTTGTAGGGTGGATTAATTATAACGCAAAACGTGAAATCAATATTTGAAACAGAACGAGCATCTGTATGTACATAATTTTTCAATAAACTTAATATGTATATTGTATTTATTTATTGAATACGTATATTTCATAAGTATTTGAAAAAAACCTGTAGGGTAGATTAATAAGAAAAGAAAAGCTTAATATTATTTCTCACAGTCTAATAAAAACGCAATATAAAATCTATGTTTGAGACAGAACTAGTCTATATATTACATA